TTTTAAGAATATGGCTTAATCATTTATTTCTTACAGTTTAAGCACAGAGAGTCATGCTGACAGATTTAATTCACCGACTACAGCAGCATCCTTTTTATGATTTAGAAAAAAATAGACATACTCGTGCAGTTATTTCTTATTCTGAGATATCACGGGGATTAAATGTGTAATTGAAGTTTAAAATGACAGACAGGGAAGTTTCAGATCTTTCCCAGTTGGCACTGTATGGATGATCAGAAACTGACGGTACCTGTCTGTGTATATAATTACATCAATTTTCACAACGCTGGCTGAAATTCAGCCCAAAAACATGTCAGCGCCTCCATCGTGTTTTACAGATGGCTACAGACTCATTGTTCTACCTTTCTTTTGAACACCTCCGTACTAAATAACAAATTAAATTTTTGAACCAAAAATTGAGAAGTGTTTTTGAGATGTATATGCTTATTTGTATATTTTGCACTTTATTTATGCTGATACGTGTGAATAAATAACAATTCCACAATTTTAAAAAATCTCTGTTTGACCCATTCAGCAAAAATCATGGTTATGATATGGCATGATTCAGCTTTCTAACAGGAAATAAAGGTATATTTAATGTATCAGTGTACACTTTATTTTATCACAAACATACAATTGATCACAGCTTGTGTTCTTTTTAAAGTCAAGAATTTTCTTGAGTTTTTACTGAAGCTCGCTATTTGAATTCAATTTCACTACTGTAAATTTAGAATTAAAAATATTTCATATTATAATACAATAAATGTAATGTTGACCATATTATATTAGCTAATGTAGTATATAATACAATTATTGTTTATTAGCTAATACTAAAATAATAATAATAATAATGGATTGCATCTATTTAGCGCTTTTCGAGACCCTCAAAGCGCTTTACAATTCCACTATTCATTCACTCTCACATCCACACACTGGTGGAGGCAAGCTGCAGTTGTAGCCACAGCTGCCCTGGGGCAGACTGACAGAAGCAAGGCTGCCATATCGCGCCATCGGCCCCTCTGGCCATCACCAGTAGGCGGTAGGTGAAGTGTCTTGCCCAAGGACACAACGACCGAGACTGTCCGAGCCGGGGCTCGAACCAGCAACCTTCCGATTACAAGACGAACTGCCAACTCTTGAGCCACAATCGCCCAAAATGACTGTTGTAGCCTAATAGTCATGGTTTTTCAGTCCCATGGGGACTGGTTTTTCAGTCCACCCCCCCAAAGCTTTTGCTGTGCAATTCCTGGACAGGGAGCGAGCTCACACTATCTATGTCCCAGGAAGCACCTGGCACTGGTCTTTCTAGGAGTTTCATCCTTCTACACCCTAACAGTCGGCAGATAACATAGTTAAGCAGCCTACAGCAGATCATATTGACACATATGTCCTTCACCTAAGAGATAAAAGAAAATACAAAATCCTACAGTGAAATTCTAAGCACCTAAATATAAATATGAGAATAAACTAGAAATTTTCCATCCAAAAATTTCAAGGTCACTTTAAAGGTGGAAAGCTTTTAGTTTTTTTTTAAGCTGACATCACCCATGTTTTAACAGTTTAACAAAACATTAAAAAAAAACCACTAAGACATATAAAACAAATGCTTCTATGAATGGGTGAATGAGGCATGTTATATAAAGCACTCTGCATGCTCAAGTAGAGTAAGCACTGTAAAATAATCGGTCCATTTACAGACATCCCAAGTTGACTGTTCTGTGCATACACCACATTGGTTCATTACTTGAGTTAGGTGTTTTTTTATGCTTGGGTGATTCAGGTCAATGATAAATGAATTACACAATAATAAACTAAGTGAAAAAGTCCAAAGAAAAACTTTGACAGACCTGGACTGTTACTCAAGATCACTTGAATTATTTAATTAAGAGTCTGGCTCCATGTAAGTAAAATACAAAGCAATGGGGATTGCTCAAGACTTTTGCACAACACTGTATGTGCAATAAAATGTGCTTTTTAAAACAATATATTGATATATATTTGTTGTAATTACATCAAATAAGAAGGGAAACGAATAAAGACTTTAGCAATAAACTGCTCTTTCAGCTCCACACTTGGCAGTCATCATCCCTACGACCAAACAGATGACATTCGGTCTGTGAATTTCTTTCCAAATTTGCTTTCCCTCTCTCTACGGCTGTGTTTCTCACACTTTGGAGGCAGAGTGTGTAGGAGGCTGCTGTAACATTGCAGTTCCTTCTGGCAAGCAAACATTGATGGTTTGTTTGTGACTTTTCAAACAGTGCCAAGTTAAGGAAGGAAAGAGGAGAGGGGTAGAAATAGAAAGGAGGACTAGAGAGAGGAGGAGGAGTAAGGACAGGCAGTAGTAGTACTGTTGGGCACAAAAATAGTTGGTTTGAACATTTTCTGTTATATTTAGTAACCTCAAGACTACAGTATGTGCATGCTTTACCTGGGGGTTACGTAATAGCACTACTGCTCAAAATGTGGTTGACCACTTTTTTAACTGTCTGCTGTAAATATGCAATATGGAGAGAAATACTCAGAGATATCTGGACTGGTGTTGTGTCTAGCTGATCAATTTCTAGAGTGCAGTATTCACTGATCTCCACCAAATATTCATCTCTTTAATTAAGTCTGTGTTCAGCATTTTCTCTTTCTATGTGCTATAGCTTTGTAATTACAGGACAGTTTGGGCAATGAGCTACCAAAACTTCTTCTGCAGTTTTACACCTTTATTTCTTAAAATTAAAGCCAAAAACGTCAAACGGACACTTTTCATTAACTAAAGCAGTATTTTCTAATCTTTTGGAAAAACTGAGACAACCAATTGAAATTAAATGTATAAGTAAACTTTAAAATGACACAAAGAAGAGTTTCACTGGTCCAGTCAGTCTACCATGGTGAGTCTCATCAACACCGGCTTAAATCAGTCTCAGTTCATCTAATATGGTGATACCCATAGGGATATAAAGACTCTGACCCGTTAGATGGAGAGCTGGTCCAGACCTCCTGTACAGGGGTAACTGGGATCTAACCGACTATTTAATATCAAAGTGGGCTGTATGTGACCTACCATGTAAAATGAGTTTGATATCCCTGCTCTAATGTATTTATACCATGTCATATGGCAATCATCAGTTCAACCACTCTGCTCAAAGTTATCAAATATTTATTTTGCTACAGCAACGTTAGAATAATCAGTCAACCTAACATGTCACACTTCAGTGTCCTTGGACTGTGGCAGGAGGCCAGCATAACTGGAGGAAACCAACTGGGCTACAGGGCTAACTATCTGACATGTTATAGAATAAACTAGGGTGACCATATTTAGATTTCCAACAAAGAGGACACTTGGCTCAGTCATGAAGAACTTGCTTAAAGAAACATAAAATCGTCCCCGGCATTTTGACTACAGACCGGCCCACCAGGTATTATAGGAAAAACCATAAAGCCTTTGAATGAAAACAAACGCTGTTGTGACAGTGATATACACTGTCTTGTTGGTATATGTATGATTTCTATACATTTTACATCAGGTAAAAACTTTGGTTGTAAGATTCAGATAATAGTTTAATAAAAGTGAGAGATTTTAAATGAGAATAAGAAAGAAAAGTATTTCTTTGTGTCCCCCTCTCCCTGTTAATGCCCTACCTGCCCCCCTGGCAAAGCTTTGCTAGACCCGCCCCTGCACAGTTACCAGCTGTCAGCTACATAAAAAAGGATCCTGGTGTTATTTGTCTCTCAGAAACAGTTCATAACTTCCCTTCAACTCATTCATGTCACCTAAAAGGTAAACCTGTTTCTCCATCACTTGTTCAGCTCTGATGATTCAGTAAGGACATCTCCTGGTTTCATCCTCATGTTTCCCTCTCACCACATATCCAAACCGACATCATGACCAGCAGCTTTTACAGCTGTGGCTCCAGCAAACATCAGCTGATACTAGAAATTAATATTAAATAAATTCTAACAACAGCTGATCAAGCTTAAACGTGCTGCTGTTGTTTAGCGCGACATCTGGCGGTATCTTCTTTCTGTTCTTCTTTCACTTATCACTGATCAGTGTCATGATTGAAGGAGCAACAGGAGAGAGAGGGGGAGAGAATGAGAGAAGAAGAAGCAGCTGTGCAGCGTAACGATGCAGAATAACTCCAGCTTTGTGTCTTTTTCCATTCTAGCTGAAGTCCAGGACAAACTGTTCCTTTTCACCTCAATACGAAATGCTTAATATTTCCTCTGAATACGGGACGATTCCGCTTTTTACAGGACGGTTGGCAACTCTAATAACTAACCTTGTGAATAAAGTTCAACATCAGTAGCATCATAGCACCCACCCAGCTGTAGAAACTCTGTCATGCTAGCTAGTACGCAGTGCGAGTTATTGTAACTGACTGTAAAAGGTCAGCATAATGAAAATAAACTCCACCTAAATTTGGTTTATATCTGACTCAGACTGCAGGTCATAACTTCTTACCTGAAGTTCATTTCACCTGCAACCGCCTCGGGTCTCTCCTCCTCCTGCCTCCCCTTTCCCTCATCCACCTGCTGACCTCTGTGGAAGCTCCGCCACAGCCACCACCAAACAACTGAGTTATTTTTACACATCGGCCAGCATCTGGCCAATCCACCACCTTTCATTGTTTATACCGTTACAAAAAAACCCCCATCGGCCCATAAAAACGAAAAATCACCATCCAGCTATGGTCGGTACGAGGGAAATTTCTTTTGCAGTTCGTCTGAAAGATGGACTTGCGCTTTGGGATCTTTTAAACATCATTAGGTGCGTTGCTACGCGCTGTCTGTCCTGTCTGTGAGCGCAGAACAAGCAGCAGTTTGGGGGTGATGTCATACACACGGGTCCTCTGTCAGAATATAGGAAAAGAGGACGGTTGGTCACCCTAGAATAAACAGCCCAACAAATCTGATCCATGAAATAAATTGTTAGATTATTAATTTGTTACTTGTAACTTGATACATTATACACCCTACTACAGTGTCTTGCCTGTATTCCTTTACAGACACATCGAGAATTGGACTGGTCTGCAGACCTTGAGGGATTTCGATATGGAGCTCTACACCGGCTTACAGAGGCTGTAAGTAGTAAGGCATTTTCTACAACATGTTATCACTGAAATGTCTGGCCAGTGAAATTTAACTTTATTCTTGGGGATCAGACCAGTGCTTTAAAAACACATGCGCAAAAGCAAATGTTTCCTCTAAAGAGGTTCAAGCAGCCCTGCACACTTCAAAGACCCACTGACCCAAGCATGGGGTTCTAATAATATTTGGACCCAGAGATATCCCAATCTCAGGAAAGAATCTGTTCACAATTCACAGTTTAGTCTACAGCAGATGAAAGGAAGCACCTCAGCATACTTTGGAGCTGGACCACTTGGGAAGTAAACAATATTGTCCAGTAAGGCTGTTAGCAGTGCTTTGATACATAGTTGTGTGTTGAATTTCAAATCCTGTTTCTTATTAAATATCTTCAGTTTGTTTTAATCTTTATGGAGTCCCTTAGTGTTTTCCAGCCTTTCCCTTCTGTGTTAATTCCCCCATGTTTAGTTCTATGTCTGTTTCCCTCACTTCCTGTTTTATTGTGGTAGCAAAATAATTTGTGGTGCAGATTACGTGCAGAATTCAATGCATGCATGCACACAAATGGCTAGTCTGGAGTTGCCTTTGTCATTTATTTCAAATCTAGGTAAGAGAGGGCGTCGAGGAAAACAGCATTTAACAGTGCATGAATAGGTTGGTTTGCTTTCACCCCAATTGCTGGTGACTTACTTAAACCAGCTTTTCTTTGTTTTTTACTTTTACTATTGTCAAAGCTATTAGGACTTTATTTCACTGATTCCATTCAATTAGATATTTAATTGTAATTAGATTTACTTCCATAAATACAGGTAGACTAATGACATAAACATTCTTTCACTATCATGGTATTAGAATTTCAATAGGAAAACAAACTTAAAGTAACCTGCATAGCTTTATAGTTATTTTTCTTCCAACAATAGGTAATAGATGTGTTTCCTCCACGTGCAATTGTTCTGTTGGTATCAGAAATAGCTAAAGTTTTTCAAAATAAATTAAAGCAAAATCCTTAATTTTTAAAATAGAAAGGAAAACAACAAGGAGCTACATATTAAAAAAAGAGTGAGCAAAATTCCTTTGCCATGTGACATGCTGAAAGTCCACCAGCTCCACAAGTTATTGTATTACAGGGTGTAGTCATTGGTTAAATTCAACTGAGTAATTACATCTGATAGGCAGTTGACTACAAAATAGGGTAATGTGAAGTGAGAATTTTTCATGGACTGCAGCCTGGTAGTTGATGCTAAACTGAGTATTTTACAGCATTGTGGTACAGGACCATCTCTGTGAACTAAGCCTGCTAAAGAAATTGTTTAGCTCATTCGCTCTATACTGAGTGAGTGTATGAGTTGTAAATAGTGAGCATGACTGTGTGAAAAACTAGAATGCTATTAAAATAGAGGAGACAGGTGTGACACCAGTCCCAGCAGTGGTCATCTTTGTATATTGCATATTTGTACAAGTACATTGTATAAGTTGTAAGAAGGGCTTTTAGTCATTTTGAATGTATTTAAGCGTATTTGTGTTCAGAAGTTGTGATTTGGATTGACGGAAAGATATCACTCTCACTTTGTAGTCGGAAGATTGAATCATCATTTTTTAATAAAAACTTACTATATACAGTAAGCTTTTATTACAAATTTTGATATACAGAAATGTAAAAATTCTGTTACCAAAGTAGGTATTTCTAAGTTCAGTTGATCGGGATTAAATCTTTCCTGTGTGATACATTTCAGTTGCTGATAATCAAGAAACTTAGTGTTGCTGATTCCATGTCTTGATGAGAGTTCCTGAAATTAAATGAAATGGCATTAAAGTTTTCCCCTTGAATAACATTTCCTACGTGTTTTATCCCTTTCTCGTTCCATGGTGAAAGGTTTATGCCTTATGAAAAGCAGATTAGAGATTTTTACTTTTCCACAGAGTGCTTGTCCTAGGTCCAGCCATGGGCTACCTAGCGAGCTTGATTTGATGCATTTTGAAGCATATAAGCAATCTATTGGATAAGAAATAATAATAAGAATTTGGTAGTTTTAAACCACCATTGTGTTTTGGCTTTTGTAGAGTTTTCAAACTTGAGATGTTTGAGTCCAGTGTCTTAAACCAGGCAGTAAATGGTTTGTTAGGGATCAGTGAGAACAAGTAGTTTATTTTAGGCAGATTTTAATTGTGACGACTGATCATTGAGTGCTATAGGTAAAGTTTTCCAAAACGTGAGATTATCTTCTACCATTTCTACTAGAGGGATATGGTTCAATCATACCGAGAGGCTGGTGGAAAAAATTATACCTAAATACCTAATGTTGCCCGACTGTAGTGTAGTGATGGAGGTCTTCTGAAATTTACAGTTCAGAGGCAGAACTGTTGAGTTAATGGAGTAGTCTGACATGGATGAGAACTTATCTATGAGTGTGATTGTCTTCAGAAGAGAGGTTTGTGAGTTCCCAAGGAACAGTAATGCATCATCAGCATACAGGCTTATCTTGTGGTCTGTATCTATTTATATCTACATTTTGTCGGATTGCTGCTGCTAGTAGTGTCATGGAATTTTGTAAATAAAGTCTGCAACATGGAAAGAGCTGTGATCAAGCTATTTATTACTGCGCAGGAGAGCCAACACACACATCAACCATCACAGTTCACAGTCATGCCAGCTCTGCCCTTGGGATGTCTCAGCTCCTCTTTTATACCCCTCCACACACAACTCTCTGCATCTTTTTAGTTACAACAGGTTTCTGTCCCACGGGCTGTTGCTGGGCAGAGAGCAACTGCCACTATCTTTTCCCAGGAAGCTCCTGACACCGGTCATCTTGGGAGTTTCGTCCTTCCACAATATCGTTAGGCGTAGCTAAGCAGTTCTTTGTGAGGTCATACTGACACACACTTACTTCATCTTAAGCAGGCAAAGGTTATACAAAAATCATACAGTAAGATACTAAACACCTAAATCTAAATTTGAGGATAAACTAGATTTCTTCCATAACAGTAGTTTGATGAAAATGACTAAAACTGAGGTTGAAAGCAGACAGCGCTGTCTGGTGTCCCTCTTTAGATTGAAGCTTTGGAAAGTAAGGTCATTTGTCCTAACACGTGCATTTTGAGAACTGCTTAGTGTTTTGATCCAATACATGAAGAATGAACCAAATCCAAATTTTTGTAGAACTGTTGACATCCTATGAGAGAGCAAATGAAGATTTTGTGCTCAAAGTTGATGTGTTAAGAACAGAAAAAAATGGGAAAGCATGAGCATTTGAGTGATTTTGACTCACTGCACTGCGACGCTGCAGCAGTGTCGGTTCTGACAGAGGGTCCAGGGATTTCATCCTCATACCTAATGGCAGTCAGGGTGCCTGTAGAGGTCTGTGTGTCCCTCCATGGACATGTCTTCCCAGACCGTTGCTGACCCACCACCAAACCGGTCATGCTGAACAATGTTACAGGCAGCATAATGTTAACCGCAGATGTGCTCAGGGTGAACCTGTTCTCATCTGTGAAAAGCACAGGGTGCCAGTAGTGGACCCGCCAATTCTGGTACTCTATGGCAAATGCCAGTCAGGCTCCACGGTTCTCTTATTGTTTCTTCTCTAGTGCATCTTTAATTTAATTTATACCAACGAAGCTGAAACCAATCAACACCCCCCTCTGCCAATTAACTTACCAGATCAACATCCCAGAAGTTTGACTGACTCGATGCTGTACTAGGATTAAAAAGTGATCATTTTATATCTTTGAGCTTATATAAGATGACAGTCCCCTGGAGCAATACATATTGGCTTCAATTTTGCATAGTGGGAGGAAGTGGAGCCAGGTCGTCCATCTTTTGTACAGTCATTTTGCTTCACTGTTGGTTTCAACCAATACCATTGCAAGCACCTGATGAAGCCGGAAGAGCTACATCATCCGCCCAAAATAGAGGTGATCCTGAGGCCACCAAACCAAAAACCCTTTGTCACTTGGCCACACCTAAAATGTGGCTTTACTGTGCCTTAAAACAAACAACAGAGCAGCTTTTCACTGGCCTCCACATCGAATTTTTCTTCACTTTGTTAAATCATTATGATTTACTAGCAATAGGTTACTATAGTTACAGCTTTTTTTAAGATTCAATTTTGGCCTTAAATTTTCATTTATTTTTTTGGCAGGACAATAGTGCAGACAGGAAAGGATGGACAGGGAGCAAGTGAAATGATCCGCAGGGAATGTCCTGGCATGGGGAATCAGATCTGCAGTAGCCGTTCAGCATTTGGGTCGGCTGCTCAACCCACTGGGGTATACTGGTACTCAAATCATACTTGTTTTTTAATGAACCATAAAACTTCCAAACAAGAGACACAGCTGCTCTGTTCTTTCTGTGCATCTCTGACCAGTCAATTTTTTTCTTTTATCATCCTCCATTTCTTTCTTTTCTCTTCTTGTTATGCTAAACATTTGTTGTCTCCACAACAAGATGCAAGTTATAGATGAGATTTGTTTCATCCCAGCTGCCATAACTCCTGTATGCTTTTGAGTTCAAAATGACATACTGCTGTCTAAAATCAGTGTGTATCTTAACATGTATTAAGAGTTTGGTTAAGGACTAAGAGGCACTTCTAGGGAAATATTAGAAAGGCTCACTATCGTTTGGACTTTCCTCCTCAGAACCGTGGAAAAAAGAATCTTTCCATTGAACTTTTGTTGTGATTTCCTTTCTCTTTGGATCTAATAGAGGCCACACAAACACATGAGAAATCAATGGAAAGCCCAGGTTGTACTCTTTTTAGTACATCAAGACTTAGTAGAGTAGCTCAAATAAGTCAAACGATAGAGAACGAAAACAAATGTCCATCACAGAGGACATCAATGAATAGGCTGGTTCTCTGGAGGCTATTACTCTACAACCATTTCCATTAATGTTTCTCATAGAAAACACTAAATAGCCTCTATTATAGCTTTATTTCACAGACATACATAATACTGTGCTGATATATAATGTCCTATTAAATGATTTTCAGCATGTTCTAGATGAGCAAATTGTTGTAAATCTGTTTAGTTTATTAATTAGTGCGCTTAACACTGTGGAATAGCAAAGATCTCCAAAAAAACCAAAATCACTTACTTTCGATCACCTTCGTATCTTGATGAAATCTTTGCCTTAGCTCATCACTGACATCGCCCAGATTTGGTGGAAGAAAGTCAAAGTGTGATTTCAAAAAGTGCATCTTCACTGACATTCTGTCACTCATTAGCTGATGTGCTTTCATGTTATCCAAAGCTCTTTGTAATTGTGTGCTCTGATTGACAACCTGTATGAATCCTTCCCATGCCACTCATTCAGTTGACTTGAGTTTCCTTTTTAACTCATCATTAAATATCAGATCATGGATTTTTAGAACCAGCAACAACACCTTTCTTAATTTTGGCCTCACTTTTCTTGAGACCAAACTTATTTCTGTTGTAAATAACATTTGTTACAGTACAGGTGAAAGAGTCTGAGTAGCAAAATGTGCTAGTTGTTGGCCATTGACCTTTAAAAATTGTCAGATTTACTGCTGCCTCAACGGTTGGGCAGTGCTGCTTATTAACTCGCACAGCCTACTTTCCCCTCCGGATTTAAAGTGGACCAGAATTGGCTGAAATCTTTTGCTTCTACAGGTATATGCTAAATGTTGGTTGTTGTGCAGCTCTCTTCATACACTTTCACATGACATATACAGTGGCTTGCAAAAGTATTTGGCCCCCTTGAACTTTCCCATATTTTGTCACATTACAGCCACAAACATGAATCAATGTTATTGGAATTACGCACACCCCACTTTTCAGTTATTTATTTGTAAAAAATGTTTGGAATCATGTATGATTTTCATTCCACTTCTCACGTGTACACCACTTTGTGTTGGTCTTTCACATGTAATTCCAATAAAATTGATTCATGTTTGTGGCTGTAATGTGACAAAATGCAGAAAAGTTCAAGGGGGCCGAATACTTTTGCAAGCCACTGTATATAAGTTAAGCAGAGAGCAAATATACAGATGTACTACGAGCAAAAATGGAAAATAATCCATTCATTGGCGCTGTTTCAAGCAAGAAACTCACTGTCAGAAGTGGGATAATAAGTTCTAATAATAATATACTTTCACTGATTTTCACATTTGTTGTGTAGTTGACCTGATTTTGATCCAACTATAAATCGTCTCGAGTTGTTAAGTTGTTATCTGCTCATTCGTTCATTCATTTTTAATTGTCTGTTTGTCAGAGTAACAGAGCTGAAAGTTATTCAAAGTGCTTTCTCTCTTCTTTGTCTGTGTGTGTGTGTGGTAGAACCATTATGAGGAGCAACCTACATACGATCCAGGCTCGCGTTTTCTCCAAGAACCCACACCTGCGCTACATGTGAGTATACACACACACACACACACACACACACACACACACCCTTTGTCCTGTCCATGCTGCACCCTGCACATATCGACTGTCTCTTTAACACAGTAACACAGGACACTTTTGAATTGGACTGATAAAAAAACCTAATAAACTAGTAGCAGAGTGTCATGATCGCTGTGTGGCAGGCAGGAGAAGGACCCAAGATGCAGACTCACAGACACGGGGATAAACTTAAAGAACACAGCTTTAATGCCGGCACGGCAGAACGTAGGACACACAAAACTAAACTGGGATAACTAAATACAAAGCTCGCCAAGAAACACAGGGAGGAGCACACACAACATGAGGGAGAACGCGACGCCGAACAGAGGAAGACGCAGACAGAAATACACAGAGGGTTAACGAGGAAAGTGGGAACACACGGGGAACACAGGTGACACAGATAACCATAACGAGACAGGGCGGAGTGAACATAACACTGACGGGTACAGGCACAGAGGTTCAGACAGGAGGAGAGAGAGCACGGGGAAAACACAGACATAACAGGCTGGGGAAACATGAAACAACCACAAAGGGAGACGAGGGCTCATAAATATATAGAGGGCACACAGGGGGAGAGAGCACGGGGAGAACTTAGACATAAAGGGCAGGGGAAACATGGAATAAAACATAAGGAGAGACGAGGGCTCACAGATACACAGAGGGGCACACAGGGGGTAAAAGCCATGAAGGGAAAACACTTAGGGAACAACACAACAGGGCAACTCAGAAAACACGGTCTAAATAAGGAACGAAATACAAAAATACATGGAAACTAAGAATACCGGGCCCACATGGCCCAGGACCATGACATCACCCCCCCCTAAAGGGCTGGCTCCCGACAGCCCAAACCCGAGAAACAAAAACAAAAACAGAAAACAACCCACCCAGGGCGGGAGGCGGGGGACCAGGACGGAGGGACCAGAACGGGAAACAAAAACAAACAACAGAAAACACAGGAGCACATGACCATAGTCAAAATAAAGTTCAGGGGGCCGACCCAGAGCCCACAGGCACAAGAGTTCACGGGTCACACGGTCGGGGGGCCGACCAGGCGGGTGGCACAGGTGGCAGAGCTGGTCCGGAGGCCGGCCGCGCGGAAGGCAGCGGCGGCGGCGAAGGAGACGACGGAGCAGTTCAGGGGGCCGGCCGCGCGGAAAGCAGCAGCGGCGGCGGCGGAGGAGACGACGGAGCAGTTCAGGGGCCGGCCGCGCGGAAGGCAGCGGCGGCTCTCCAGTGTCAGGCGTGCTGGCCATGGCCCGGTGGGCACAGGACCAGACGAAGCACAGGCTGAAGGCTCTGAGGCTGCTGCAGCTGACGAAGGCTCTGAGGCTGCTGCAGCTGACGAAGGCTCGGAGGCTGCTGCAGCTGACGAAGGCTCGGAGGCTGCTGCAGCTGACGAAGGCTCGGAGGCTGCTGCAGCTGACGAAGGCTCGGAGGCTGCTGCAGCTGACGAAGGCTCGGAGGCTGCTGCAGCTGACGAAGGCTCGGAGGCTGCTGCAGCTGACGAAGGCTCGGAGGCTGCTGCAGCTGACGAAGGCTCGGAGGCTGCTGCAGCTGACGAAGGCTCGGAGGCTGCTGCAGCTGACGAAGGCTCGGAGGCTGCTGCAGCTGACGAAGGCTCGGAGGCTGCTGCAGCTGACGAAGGCTCGGAGGCTGCTGCAGCTGACGAAGGCTCGGAGGCTGCTGCAGCTGACGAAGGCTCGGAGGCTGCTGCAGCTGACGAAGGCTCGGAGGCTGCTGCAGCTGACGAAGGCTCGGAGGCTGCTGCAGCTGACGAAGGCTCGGAGGCTGCTGCAGCTGACGAAGGCTCGGAGGCTGCTGCAGCTGACGAAGGCTCGGAGGCTGCTGCAGCTGACGAAGGCTCGGAGGCTGCTGCAGCTGACGAAGGCTCGGAGGCTGCTGCAGCTGACGAAGGCTCGGAGGCTGCTGCAGCTGACGAAGGCTCGGAGGCTGCTGCAGCTGACGAAGGCTCGGAGGCTGCTGCAGCTGACGAAGGCTCGGAGGCTGCTGCAGCTGACGAAGGCTCGGAGGCTGCTGCAGCTGACGAAGGCTCGGAGGCTGCTGCAGCTGACGAAGGCTCGGAGGCTGCTGCAGCTGGCGAAGGCTCGGAGGCTGCTGCAGCTGGCGAAGGCTCGGAGGCTGGACCAGACGAGGCAGCTGATGAGGATGCTGGACCAGACGAAGCAGCTGATGAGGATGCTGGACCAGACGAAGCAGCTGATGAGGATGCTGGACCAGACGAAGCAGCTGATGAGGATGCTGGACCAGACGAAGCAGCTGATGAGGATGCTGGACCAGACGAAGCAGCTGATGAGGATGCTGGACCAGACGAAGGCTCTGAAGAGGAGGCTGCGGCAGACGAAGGCTCTGAAGAGGCTGCAGCAGACGAAGGCTCGGAGGCCGGGCCAGGCGAGGTTGCAGAGGCTGAGGCCGGGCCAGGCGTAGCAGAAGCACAGGCGGATGTAGCCGGGCCAGGTGATGACGAGACGGTCGCAGATGGCGGCTGGACAGGCTCCTCGGGCCCTCCAGCTGATGCGGCGTGAGGCTGAACGGGCCCTCGGACCCTCCAGCGGAGACAGGAGGCTGAACGGGCCCTCGGACCCTCCAGCGGAGACAGGAGGCTGAACGGGCCCCTCGGACCCTCCAGCGGAGACAGGAGGCTGAACGGGCCCCTCGGACCCTCCAGCGGAGACAGGAGGCTGAACGGGCCCCTCGGACCCTCCAGCGGAGACAGGAGGCTGAACGGGCCCCTCGGACCCTCCAGCGGAGACAGGAGGCTGAACGGGCCCCTCGGACCCTCCAGCGGAGACAGGGAGGTGCTGGCCGGGCTGAGCAGAGCCGCCAGCGGAGACAAGGTGCTGGAGAGGTTCTCCTGAACCTCCAGCGGAAACGGATGCAGAGCCAGCAGGTGCGGGGACCTCTGGCACAGCGGACGCTAACTGTAGCGGCACAGGGCACGCAGCCGGCTTAGGATGCAACGGCTGGGGCTGTGCAGGGCAAACAGTCTGTCCAAAGTTTGTCAGCACCGCGCAGTCCTCAGCTGGCGGAGAAAGCTCACAAAGGCTTTCAGTTGAGGTTGGCAGTGTCTGAATGGGTTGCTGAGCTATAGACTCGGCTGGTGACAGAACAGAAAACTGTGCTAATAACTGTGCTACTGACTGCGTTATGGACAGAAGTGCAAGTTGTAATGGTGATTGCAGAGATGGTGGACCAACAGGGAGTTGAACTGGTGACTGAGCTGGTGACTGGCTCTTGGCTGTTCTCCTCCGGGGAACGGGAACGGGTGCCGGGCCTGGCCGAACACCAGCCATCCCCGCCCGAGGAACAGATACGGGTGCAGGGATGAGCTGGGCTCTGGCTGCCTTAACCCTGGGGGCCGGTGTAGGTGTAGGACCTAGCTGGACCTCTGTCGCTCCCACCCGAGGAACTGAGACGGGTGCAGGAGTCGGCAGGATCACGGCTGACCTCACCCGGGGAACCGGAACAGGAGCAGGCGACGGCTGGGTGTCCATCAACCCCACCCGAGGAGCAAATACGGGTGCCGGGATGAACGGAGCCTCTGCCAGGCTGGGGATAGAAGCAGGGACCAGCTGGACCTCAGCCACCTTCTCCCGAGGAACTGATACGGGAGCAAGGGAAAGCTGGGCCCGCGCTGCCCTGGTTACAGGAACTGGAGTTGGAGAGCAGAGTTCAGGAGCAGCAACAGACACTGGGAAAACCAAGTTATTGACGCCAAACCCAGTTTTAGGAGATCTAGGTTTAAAGCAAGCAGGTCCTAGGAAATCCACTGCTATAACACTCTCCAGGTTAGCGCTAGCAGTCCTGGAGGAGGTTAGCTCAGGGACAGTCACCGAAGCAGTTTCAAAACAGACAACATCAACAACTGTCTCTTGAGGAACGGTGTGCTGTCTAACACAGGTCAGAGAAGGAAGAACGCCAGAGACAGTTCTTTTCAGAATCGAGGCTGGAAGGACAAACACAGGTTGAGAAACAAAGTCAATTTTCATATAGTCCATAGGTGAACCAACTCGGCAGGCTGACTCAGATTGAACTGGATGGGGAGCCACACAGTCCAGGGACGAAGTAACACCCACAACAGTTTTCACAGCAACAGGTTCAGAGGAGTAGCGAACAGGATCAAGCATGCGTTGCCGTGGGTCACAAAACTTGACCTGATCAAGCAACTCTTTAGCGCTTAACCCTAGTCTTTCGGTTAGCTTAGCAACGGAAGCGACCATCTTGTTACCGCTCACTCGAGAAACTGAATGGTTAAACACTGGTTGTGGACCTGACTGGGCACCACTGGACATGTCAAAAGATACAACGGGTTGGCACATGAAACAGTTACTAGAAGGAGCATCAGTTACAGAACACTCAGTCTCAGATGGTTTGGCTGATGATGGTGGTGGTGTGTGGCTGAGTTCAGACTGGAAAACCCCAGAGTGTACAGGCTGGTTAAAACAGTTCTGTGGGGCTGCAATGCTGGTAGCAGTGTGGGGGTGAGTCTGGTGTAGGATAGCTGTCTTAGGTTCAGCTGTCTCTACATGTAACACATTCATATCGGTTAAATCAAAGGACATACTGCGAGCTTTACAAAAATCAGAGGGCTCAAAAACACAAAGGTTGCTAGCAACTGGTGAATGATCCGACACCGAGGTGCCTCGCTGTATAGTGTCTCCAGAGTCCAAACACACAGTGGTGGAGTTATCCGATTCAGGAAACACAATGGCGGGCAAAACAGAGTTACTCACAGTGGTGGAAAAGTCATGAAGTCCGGGTCCAGAAAACTTGGGCTGAGAGTGTGACGCACAGTCACTCTCACCCAGAGATGAAAACTGCTCCGCTGCTCGGGAACGCCGGCGACGTGAACGCCGTTTTCTCCGGGAAGGGGGAGGAGACGAGCCGGACCGCGAATCCTCCAGCGGACCGGGCTGAACGTCCTCCGACTCTTCACACTGGAGAGGCAG